AGTCAGAGGGCAGGGGGTGGGGAGAAGTGGCAGCAATGCAGGCACTGCTTCTAGCTGCCTGGCCCCAGCACAGTTTCTCACTACCTAGCTCCAGTATGAGCATGGGCAGAGGCAAGACCATCTGGATCTGCAGGCAACATCCAGTGGCTCCACAGTCCAGATTCAGTCTGTGGGCTATATGTTGCTGACCCTGAGTTGGAACTCTTCCCTTTGTTCTTAATTTCTTTTTTGGCTGAAAATTCTGTGGTTTGTTACTTTTACTATATTAGTCAAATTCAGATGAAGTTGAGCCTGAATACCCTGTAGAAATGTCTGTGTAAATCATATAATTTGTGTGTGAAAAAAATGCTTACTCCAGTTGTGTGGCTAGATAATCAAGGGAAATAACTAAAAGAGACTGGCCCATTGAAGACTTTGGGAAGAGGTGTTAAAGCAACCAATTAAAATGAGATGTGTTAAGGGAAGAAGGGAAGGAATCAAGGGAAGGATTCCTCCAACCTCCCCAGCTGTAGTTTTTTTTATCATTGTTTTGGGAGCCACATAAGTGACAGTGTTAATTCACTCTTGAGAAATCCAAAAATAATTCTAAAACTATTTCTCTTTTCTTTTTAATAGGTCATCGCACAACGAGCTAGAAAAACATAGGTAAGTCACAAGCAAAACATGCAATAATCTAAAAAAGTACTGCTGGACATGAGAGTGACCACAGATAGAAAGGGATACTGTGTTGGAAATGCTGAGTTACCTGTGTACTGTATTGAATGAGCAATCTGAACTTCTCAGGGTGACAAAGTTAAGTGGATTTCTCTAATATTCAGTACACTGGCTATGATGTTTCTCAAATACTGTAGTAACGATTGGTTAATTCTAAACCTTATGAATGAAGCAATGCTATTAAAGAAGCTGATTCCACTAACTGCTTGTTAGTAAACTTGTTGTGTTAATATAAATTGAGGTACAGTGGTTAGGCTTTAAGAATTGGGAAGAATACATCGTGTAGAATTACTCTGAAAGTCAATTTCTGTATGCTTTTTAGTGGTCACCTTTAGCCTTATACTGAAACTCCTGCAGATGAATTTCTCATTAAGTCAGCTTCCTTGCTGAGATGGGTTTCATCCAGAAGATTGTGTTCCAGGCTGGAAACCAGCAACTCCTGAGCTGCAACTGTGGTGGTGTTTCTTGAATGCTGTGAAAAAATTTTGTGTGTGTGTCAGTGAAATTCAGGATCACTTCCTTTTTTTTTTAAGGCCAGAATTTCTAACAGCCTTTTCCTGCCTGTGCCAGCAGCTGCCCATGCAAAAGTTGTGTGCATGTTTTGGGAAGTCCTGTTTGCCATCTGCTGTATGTGACCTATTTGTAGGTGGGCTCTTCAGCAATAGTGACTCCTTAAGATGTACCTACTGTAGCAGATGGGACATACTTTACACTTCCTTTCAGCCTGTAGGTTCAGTTTTCTTTCACATCTCTAACGCTGTGGTTCTCAGACTTTTTAGACTTGAGGTACGCCTTGACAGATTCGAGGCACCCCTCAGAAAATGCCATGTCTTAGTTTTCACTCAGGTTTTGACATCAGAAAATATTAGATCAATTCTTTTTTTGCAAAGAAATCAGAAAGACCACAACAGTCGGGATGTTTTTAACACTATGGACTCCTATTTGAAAACTCTGGGTTTGTCTTGTGAATCATAGGTGTGTACCTAACAGTGATAACATTGCATGGAACCCTGCAGCACCCTTGAAAGGATCTCAAGGCATGCCAGGTTGCACCCTGGTTGAGAATCACTGCTGTAACACCACAGGGTGGCCTGTCTTTCTGCTCATTTAGTGAACATCCGCTGGACTTTGGGCATTGCAAAAAGGGTGTGTGGCAAGTGTATAAACCTGAACCTATATCCATTTGTATGCCTCTGAATACAAGAAGGGTGCTTGATGATTCCTGAGGAAGGTGAATCTGTAACACTGACACTTCCTCTCCGTTCCTGTCCCGCAGTTAGATGTACGCACTTAAATAGCTGTTTGCCATTAGAATTCCCCTCATAGGACCTGTTGGCTGGAAGTAGTTTCCCAGATCTGGAACGCTAGTTTCCTTACACGTTTCCTTTCATTTCTGTAGCTTAAACTTGACGTGACTGGATCCTGGCCCATACTAACCCATCAGCATCTCTGTGACAGGAGACCTTGGGGAGGCTTGTGGCCCCCTCCACAGTTCTGAGCAGCAGGGCACTGTGCACTGGCTAAGACATGTATGTGCAGCAGGCTAAATGGCAGACTTGGATGGATCATCAGATGAATACATGAGACCAAGCTCTCGTGACTTTCAGTTACCCTTGTGTAATCCTACAGGAATTTTTGAGGGAACAATTTTGCCCTAAATACTTATCTCTTTCATTCTTTCATCTTCCTCCTCTATGCAGTCTCATCCTTGCTTCCCTTACTCTGTCACCACTGATCTGCAATGTCTGTAATGAGTGCCCCTCTCCCCCAATTCCTCTTTATTAGCACAGCATGTGGTTTCCTTTTCCTCCCTCTGCACAAGTCCTGAGTGTGTTTGAGCAGCACAGCATGGATGAGGTTTTAGTATCTCATGCAGGTGCAGAGACAGAAGTTTTTTATCATTCAGGTGAAGTTTATCTTTTGAGTTCTGCAGCATACCCACTTTTCACATGCGAGTTCCATAGTGTTTGCCCCAATGGCTTTTCCCCTTGGCAGTTTGCTCGCTTTCACCTTGGCACTTTGAGAGAGGGTCTCATTGTGTCACTGATATTTCATTGCGAGTACACACTGCAGGCCCTGACGTTGTATATGCTTAGAGCCAAGTTTTCAGGTATCATAATTCCACTTGTGAACATGAATGTGCAAAATTTGTATTAGTGTGTGTGTGTGTGCAAACTAGTACTCGCGTTCAACTGAGTGCCTCACTTCCGTACCCATTATCTGTGTTGAACAAATGTGTGCCATTTTGTAATTTATAAACAATATTTAGGCTATACACAATTTACAGATACTTATTTTTGTTAATGTTTCATTCAAATTAATCAAATATCCCCAGAAGGGTCAGTTATTTACAGTTGTAATAAGTCTCTGTAGCTTCATGAAGCTCCATGACAGCAGAGTTTGCTTCCTGTTGCAGAGGTAGTAGGTATTCCTTCTCCAGAAGCTGTAGAGCATCTGTTGATGATTCCATATATGCTTCTTTTCCAGGACCAGTGACTTTGACTCAGCGTGGTCAGGTTGCTTTTTGGCTCAAGTACCCTTGGCGAATCTGACTAAAATTTCCATCTTTGTTGGCCAGAAGGGAAAAAAGGAGACCAAAACTCATCTTCTGCCTGCATTGGTGTCCTCTAGTAATGGTGGATAAGTCAGTCCGCTCCCCCACATGCCAGTAGCAACTGAAAAAATTGATCCAACTCTGTTTATTTCCCCAGCTGTGAGATGGGTGTGGAGCTGGAAAGGAGGAAAATGGCTTCCTGAATACTTGGACCCTTCCCCACCCACCTTTTTCAACAAGGTCATCCATCCAGAGTTGGAATAAAACAGAGTTGTAGTAGCTCCCCACTGGTATGCAGTGCCACTTAGGTTGTACAGAAATCGTCTCCCTGTAAAGTCAGTAGCAGAATCTCCTTCATTGACTTCAGTGAGACCAGAACTGTTCCACCTGGCCTTTGCACCTTTGTTTCCAGGAGAAGCTGCGAAGGGTCAGATCAGGAAGGGATGCAGCACAAGCCACGTCTCCTGCCTTTTTTAGGCTTACCAGAGGACCCTAATGGATGCAGGAGAGCACATGCATGCCACAGCTCTTCTTGGTCTGGCTTATCATGAGGCATGTTTAGGACACTTTTACCTGGTGATAGCAGTAGTGACACCTGGTTCAGAACCACCGAGATAAGTTGAGGCAGCACAACACTGTTTCTCAACCAGGGGAACCAGCAAATTCAAAAAAATCTGAGTAGACTTTCTATATAAAGTGTAGACATTAAAAAGAACCAAACTGTTTGGTGTCAGTTCTGCTGTTCTGGGGCTGCTTTGTAGCTTAAACTCTCATTTTCTGGGTGCATGTTTTTTTCTGTGCTCTTGCTAGGACATTGAGAGTAGTACAAATAGATGGATGCATTTGTGTAGGGGCCTAGGGGAGGTGACCCTGGAGGTCCTTCCACCCCTGTGATTCTATGAAAGCAACAGAGTGCTAATTCCAAGAGCCTCTTAATTATTTGCTAGGCTTCAGTGATGAAGAGGGTACTTGTCAGGAACCAGTACATAAAAGTCAGTAGAGAAGATGGAAGGAAAAGAAAATGGATGGTTCAGGATCATTGGCTTCTAATTACACTGCTAATAGAATGCTGTTACAAGGATTTATCTGTGTGTTGGCAATCCTGTTCAGAGCCTGTATGACTGAACTCTGCATCCAGATGCCCAAAAAAGAAATGGTCGAGGAAGAAACCTTGCCTTATTCCAAGAACAGGGAGCGTCCTACAAGAAATTTAGCTAGTTATAACTGATCAGTTAGTTATAACTGGATGTAGCTGGCACCACTGCAAGCCTGCAGCATTCTTTCACTGCAGCTGAGCAGCACTTAGAAAAGTGTGAAATATTTACCTTCATTGCAAACATCAAAGACAATAGTTGCAATCAGATCCTTGCAGGCATGTACTTCAGTGAACGGCATAAATAAGTAGCAAACCCATCAATAGTAATAAAACCGTATTTTTGCAAAGCTATTTTTGATCCTTAAAGGCAAATTCACTCTAGCCCATGATTACTGTAAGTGTAGAATGAAATTCAATTTTCGTAAAGTAGAAACAACAGCTTGGTAGGGATGTGACTAAAGTCTATCCTATCGACTGGCTCATCTTTACACTTCTGTCCTTCAAAACAAGTAGGACCTAGTATTATGACTAATTGTTCATACAAGAGGCATGGTACTTAGCCTTGGATTTGTATTTATTTTCTACATTGCTGTAATGCAGAACTGGTTATTTTCTTCTCAAGGCTGTATCAAAGGCCCTGTTTCTTATAAAATGTAACTAGTGACTCATTTGTCCTGTGCTATTCATGTATGGGCTTGTTCTGTACAAGGTGCAGGGGAATGTAATGGAAAATGTCACTTCTGTATGATGCTACATGTGTTCCTTTAGCTGCAGGAGGTCTCTTAAGGAATCATCTTGACTAGCTAGTCTTTATGCAGTAGATGCTATTTCCCCCTCACCCGTTGTGGTGATGGTCATTATGCACTGCAGTATAGGATTGGATCTTTTAAATACTGCTGCATTAGGAGACCAACCAAGGACATTTTTGTAGCTGTCTCTGAAAATAGCTTTTTTCAGTGGATAGATTACTTGGCTGTGAAGCAGGCTCTGTTTAGCACAACCATGCTATAAAAATTTCAAGAAAAAATCAAAGCGATTCCTTAAGATACTTAAATTGTAGCAACTTCCACATGGTAGGGCCAAATTCAGGTGTCCTCACACTAACTTCAGCAAGTGCTTTGCTTGGCTAAAGACTGCAAGACTTAGCATGCTAAGAGGGTTGTGAGGGAATTTAGTTTTTTAACAAAGCACTGGATTTATTTTTAAATTTTGGGAGTAGTTTCTCAGGTGCTTAGAATTGCCCTAGCTCTGAACCAACCCAGGATCTTTTCTAGGAAGAAC